AGACAAAGTATAATACATTTATTTCCTCAGTAAAACAAAGAAAAACCCAACCCAACCCAAAACAACACAAACAAAAAGAAACAAAGAATGACATTATCATTTTATTTCATTTTCACAAACATTCTCCAACCGACAGCAACCTTCATGTAAGTCTCTCAAATACATTCAGTCAATCACTAATGACATAACTTTATGGAATGATTTCTGATCCTGCATCGTTAAGACATATGACGTCATAGGCTAATAATAATATATATGTGATTGTGCCTGATAATAGTCTCCCCCTTACCTGAAAAAAAAAAAGGGTCAGAATTTGCTTCTAAAATTCCTGAACTAACTGCTGTGGGTTTCAGGATGCAAATCATTATATGAGACCAGAAACAAATACACAAGTCTAATAAACTAGTCTTTGTCAAGAAAAACATTTCTGTCAACAACATTAACACACTAAAAATTTGTTGGTTTTTCATGCAGTTGTTTTCATGCTCACATCAACAAATTAGATCATTTAGGAGGCAGCCTGCTACAAAAGGGTACAAAGTCACAGCAGAAAGACCGATATACTTGATAAAAATTCTCCCCATATGGAAATTGAACTCAGGTCTTCTGCGTGTGATGGCGAAGCAGCTGACCTCTACAGCAGACGCCGAGAAAATAACATAGTGTCAATACAGTTCATTTTACATTGTTTAAAAAAATTTTTAAAAATCCAAAGTTACAAAAAAGTCCTTTTGGGAGGTGCTCAAGAAGTGGCTAATCCAAAGAATAAAAAAAATGAACTACCGTACTAATTCCACAAAAAAAATTCCATTCTTTTTAAAGCTCATGTCTTGAAACAAACACTGCCTACTTATGGATTGCTTCTCTCGGCATATTTATTTTTCCATAAACTGAACACAACCCCGTCCCACCCCACCCAACTCAAGAAGACACAAAGGAGTCCAAACACATTAAGGTAAAAGTAAACTTGGGCATTCTATTCGGAACTCACACCACACAGAACACACATCCAAGGTGTCCACTGTCTGCGGAGCCAAATTGGGACCGCTTGACATCATGTTTGATCATGTGCTTTTAATTTACTTAAGAAATTTGGGGGGGGTGGGGGTAGGTTGAAAAGTACTTTTACCCACATTTACACTTCAATTGTCATGAAATGAGCATACAAATACGACAGCATAAGCATAGTGGAGAAGAATTCTGACACACTCAGCGACCCAAACATACAAATCAATACTTTTTGACATTATATTGTAAATATTCCAGATCTGTGGCACTATGACAAAGATCTATATCATGCATTGTTTTTCTTGAACTGAAGAAAAAAAAGGAGAAAGAAAAACATTTTCACAATATTATATATATTAATATGTACAAACCTAAATGCAATGAACAACGAAGCCAATATTTTTTATTACGTGTTCTTAGATTAATTTTAAAAAAAATTAAATTAAAAAACCCAAAAAACCCCCCACCAAAATCTGTCAAATTAGGGTCACAAGAAAGAACATTCACCACTTATACCATTGAGGGGGAGAACACCAAACAGTACAAGTTCTTGTAAGGACCTGAATGCCTGCCATCCGCACCAGACCTCAACAAAAGGTAACACACAACATTTACACAAGACCTCAGTCACCAAGTATGTACAAAACCTTACCCCCACAAAAAAACAACAACCAAAAACAAAAACAACCAAAAACAAAACAAATACAACAACAAACAAAAAACTAAAAAAATATCCCCCCCCCAAAAAAAACAACAACACACACACACACACAAAAACACTTAACTACAAGAGGCTCAGCCACACAACAGTGAGAGTGTTCTTGCAGCACAAGAGAGGTCCACAGAGAGTGGTCCTGTGGTAAGTAGGAAAAACTTGCTGCCTTCTTAGTTGCTGGGTATGATCTCAGTCTTGGTCAGTGACTGGTCAAGTCATTACATTCCCAGTGCACCCAGCCAGTCACAATCATCATCAGTTTGAGTCAGACCCAGCCAGATTTTCCTGCATGGGTGGGACAAAAGCTACCTCATCTGCACAATACCACCGAATTTAATTAACGAAAGTTGAACCGTGGCCGTCAAATTGCATGCGTTTGTTTTTCAAGGTAGCCAGTACAATCGGTTGTACTGTGTCAGAACAGTAACTTTTTGCCACTCCACGAAGAACAAATCTGGTTGGCCCCAACTAAATTTAATATTGGCAGTGTTCACTGAGTATTAGTGTGGTCAGCGTCAGGGAAAGTCATCCTCTTACTAAGGTCAGTGACAGGTCAAAACATCTCAGTACTGTCAGTGTCAGGGGTCATGTCATCTTACTAAGGTCAGTGTATGGGTCACATAATCTTTCTAAGGTCAGTGTACGGGTCACATCTTACTAAGGTCGGTGTCAGGTCAAATCATCTGTGTGTGGTCAGTGACTGGTCAAGTAATGTGTTTGCTTTGCATGATGAGAGAGGACTAGATGGCGTAGATTGGGTTGGGCTGGCAAATCACTGGGTTTTCCGGATCACACGCTTTGCGCACACTCATCTCCTGGGGAAACACGGAAGACAAAAGAGAATGAACGAAACAGGCTATGACATAAGGACAATCATTCCAAGACACAAAAGAGTGAGAAAGACAGATTTTTTAGTTTTAGTAAGTGTTTTACGGCACTTGCAACACAATAAGGTCATGTAAATGCCAAAGATTAGAAGTGTTACAAGAGAGTAACAAACACAAAAAAAGAAGGAGGAGAGATAAGGATGATAGGATAGAAGAAGCAAACCACACCAGAGCACCCG